CTAGACCTAGATCAATGCGAAGACAGGTGCGTTTGCACACTTCCCCATACAGGCATTGGCTATATCCAGGGTGATTCTTCACTCCCACCACTTGACATCCGTTTCTCTGAGGGTGTTGCTTCCGCAGTGAATCTCTCCAAGCCCAACATGGTGCGACAAAAAGTCGTCGACGAATCCAACATCCATACCAGTTGCACCATACACCGCCCTCACCCTCTCTTCAAAGAGATCCTTCCCGTCAACCAGAGGTCCCCACGGCTTGGGGCTCAAATAATGCTCTCCAAGCACAATGCCGTTGATCGCAGCAGGGCTGAAGCTCGCCACCAGAAACTCGTCCGCCATCACCGTGTCCGTGTGTGAGGGCAGGCCGTCGTCGGAGCGGCTGAACCCCTGGCCCATGTTGAGATCCTTGAAGAGCACCGGGACCCGGACGACATGCTCTCTCGCGATCGGGATCTCGGAAAGCAGCGTCTCGAGGTTGGCGTCGATGTGCTTCTGGGCGTACGCATTCACCTGGTGGAACGTCTCGTTGGCGAGGATCTGGTCGATTGTCGTCGCCAACTCCTCGGCAGAAGTCGAGAACGCGTTGTCGAGGCTGCCATTGAAGGACACAGCCCGCACCCCGCCGTGGCCTGCGGTAGATGCGTTCCGCAGGATCTCGAGAGCAGAGACGGTATCCGCGATGCCGATAGTGAATCCGAGACCCGTATTGTTAGACGGCAGGAACTGCACGAACTCGTCGACGTGCCCGATCAGTAGCCACCCGGTCTCAAGCATCAGCGGCGTCTGCAACCCCTGCCCGTCGAGGAACTTCGTCATCGACTCCGCAGGCATCTTCTCAAAGTGCTTGCCCTGAATAATTCGTCCGACGGGGTACTTAATACCGCTTTTGGAGATATACGGCGGGATCGTCTCGAGGTTGCCAAAGGAGTTGATCTCAAGATGTCCAAAGCCCCGACGGCCCCCTTCAGGCTGGAATCCGCCCACGCCCTTGCCCCTTAACTGCTCAAATACCTGACGGCCGCCAGTCCGCGTCGACTGCGCGGACCGCAGAAGAATGCGGATCGATACAGGCCCGTTCGGGCCCGGCATGCTGGCGTACGCCGGCTCGATGAAGTCCTGCGCCCAGATGTCGCTGCTCTGGTTGAAGAGGTAGAGCGGCGTCTGCAGACCGGCGGCCGCGCGGCCTGCGTCCAGCTGGCGGATGAACTCAAGCTGGACGGGGTCGGAGTCGTTGGCGGCGGTGCTGATGAGGGTGTCGACGCGCTGGAGGTGGTGGTGCGTGAGGACTGGTGCGACTTTAAGCTCGACGGCGTCGGAGAGGATCGTGGTGTTGACGTGGAGGTCGAAGTGGACCGTGACCTTCCCATCCCACTCCGAGGCGTCTGTGACGAATTCGCGGCCGTCGATGCCCAGGGAGATGCCGTTCTTGAGTTGTGTGGCGTTGAAGATGAATTCCGGGTCGACGAACCTCCATGCGGCGGTTTCGCTGGCGCGGGAGGGAAAGTCGTTCACGAACAGGCGCACCCTCTTTGCCGCAGCTTTGGGGGTAGCATAAATATGAGCAAAGACATCATCCGAGACATCTACCGGGGCGGTCTTCAACGGCGCGACCAAGCCTGGCTCGAGGAGCAGATGGCCGGAGGCGTCGTTGCATGAGGCGAGCTCATGGTTGCTCAGGGGGTTGCCTTGCAGATCGGTGTTTGCGCAACGACGGAGGGAATCGCCGACGTTCGGGAGAAATATCGCTCCCCGTGCCGGAGTCCAGAACGCCTTGTCAGCGTCATCGGCCTCGTTGACGGCGCCGTCGCGGTTGTTGTCTGCCCGGATGATGGGCCGTTGGGCGGTGGCGGCTCCGAGATGGAGGGCGGCCAAGGCGATGGTCGCCAAGTTTGTCGAAAGAAGCATCTCGGGTACCGAGGATATTGAAGACCAGTATGATGATATGAGCTTGAGGGAGAGTGCCTGGTTTGTTCTCAATCTTGCCGTGGAAGTTAACTATCTTTTATAGTGATTTCTTTGCTCACCAGGAACGCCATGAGCACCGCCATCACCGACCATACAGACCTTCCCGACTTGGATAAAAGCTCATCGGTGCCCGCGGGCGACAGATTTAGGTGGACTTTACGGACTTCGCGATCCTCATCGTCGCCTCTGATTCGACGTTGTTTCCTCGATGCGGTCGCCATAATTGGCGATCCTACCTCGTATGGTATCCTCTCCACCGGAATATTGATAATATTGCCGTTATCAAATAAATGTAGAAAAGAAATGGGAAACTGCGCCTTCATGCTAGAGAAAACCCGCAGCCATTGAGGCTATCTCGACTCATAGATCGCGGTGCACTAAGCCAGATCGGGCAGATTTCGTGGCCAAGAGATTTGGGTGGGGTTCCCCGCTTGAATTGCTGCCCAGATCCTGGGAATCAAGCGGCCCTTGACGTGGTGGCCAGTTTATGAGGCATAATGAATGGACGACGGGATTTAAGCTAAAAGGGTCTGTTCAACGCAAAAGAATTCTTCACAAAATGGACTCGGCAATTGAGATCCTAAGAGACTGGACCACTTAAGGACTACCCGTGGCTCAGGTTATTCGCACAGGATTGAGAAAACTGAAAACTCTATGCTAGTATCTGTAATTCGGTTGAACTAAAGCTCTATCAAATGCTATGAAGTCTGCTCTTTGTCCATTCTTCGCAAACCCAGTGGAGCTTTGAGATATTACTGTACATATGATCAACGAGCGCAGTACCAAAATTGAGACAAAAGAAATACTATGCGCCGAACATATAAACCGTCTCTCGTTGAGTGGTGTTGATTATTTGCTTTCTCCAATTCTGCAAAGTCTCTCCAGCGATACCGTAAACGCACACCAAGTAGCAGCTAAACCGACTGCAGATGCAGCATTAACCTGGCCGCAGGTTCGATCGAGTAGCAGGTAGGTTTCCGAGTAGAACGACTTTCATTGCTCCTCCTCGTCGGGCTCGCGAATCGAGACAAACATCGCAGGCCAAACGACGAAGAACTCGGGGACGATGAAGGAGAAGAGGCACGCCGCAGCAATGACTTTCGTCAACACAGACGCCTCGGAACCGAATATGTTGATGGACGTGTAAAGCATCGCAGCGGATGGGTAAACCCGGGGCAGAAGTTTGTCGACCACTATCTTGAGAAGATGAGGGCGAACTCGTAGTCCGGCGTGGTGCTGAACGCTAAATCGCCAGCCTAGAAGAGCTCCCATGGCCCTTTCGAGTGATCTCTCATAATAGAGAGATTTCACAAAGTGACCGATGATGTTGATCGTATCGAGAAGGCGGATAACAGGAGATATACGAAGAGGTAAGGCCACGTCGGTGTCTGTTTCGTATACCAGGCCAGATTGCTGGTTCATGAACCCAAGGGCAAAAGCAATCAGGGCCCCAGTCATCTGTCCGGCGAAAACAATGTCGGTTGTGTTTGTGGTATGGTCCATGACTGCAGTGAGAAGATGTGGTGCAGTGAGTGTGAGAAAGGATATGGTGTAATGAGTGTAAAAGGAATGGTGTGTTGTAAGATTGATTGTTGGCTGGTTGAATGGGTGTCTGAGTTTCATTTATTCGTGAAGGGCTCCGAACTTCTTATAAGATTTGAAACTTTCTGAGGCAAACGATCTGCTTCTGTCAATATCGTGAAGAGGTAGCCGACAACGTCATAGCCACAGATCTGACGATGTAACTCGTAAGCTTAATCTCCGATGCATCGTCCTCGGACTTCAAAAACTCCTCTTGCCACAACGCCTTCCTTCCATTTGTCTTCTGGAACGCAAACATAGAAGTATAATGGCCTTTCAATTGAGCGGCACCTGCGTGAGAGTGCGAGAACAACGCATTCCAGCCCCAGCAGCCACAGAGACTAAGGTACGTTGATGGCTTAGCGCTTTGATTCCCTTAGGCTCTTCCCCAGGCTGAGAGTGCACCGGAGAGAACCGGAGAGATTCTGGCCCCGGGCCATCATATATGCAGTCTACAACGCCAAAAGAAAAACGGCTGCGTCCGGATATCCCCAGGGCAAACTAGGCTCTTCACCTCGCTAAAGTGCCACTGCATGAATGCAAGCCATATAGAACTCCGAAACATCGCTCCTCCATTCATTGTTCCTGGTTCTCAAGTATTTTGATGCATCTTTTGATGAAGCCGCCATGTCCCTCTTCGAGGTAGTAGTCAAGTTGCATCACCAAGAAAGTCACGATGCGCGTTGCGGACTGCACAGCCTCGCAGCCCTGGCTGAAGCAGCCTCTTTGAAGCAGCCTGGTCGGATGTTACCGGACACATGTCATCTGCGGATTATATTCCGTACAATTTGGTGCATATGTAAGCTCTATGGTGGTAGAAACCTCCTAGAATTCTCAACTTCGCATGCCATCCTGTTCTAGTCGATATGTTACAATCAACGAGGCATACATTCACTACTTCAAATTAGGATACATGATAATCAAGCCCTGAGTTGTTTAAACTCCCAAGTGCATAAAGAAATCCAGAGGGCATCAAAATTCAATACATAAATCAACTATTTCTTCACATTTATTTGTTCATTCACGTATTTATTTTTTGGGGAAAAAATCATTCTCTTTCCCCCGCCTTGTGTATTTGATGTCCGACTTATTAAAGTCCCCGCCCCGGACATCATTCATCCAACCATCTCGTAAGAGACATTTTCCTGACGCCCTCAGACTTTCAAGCAAATATGCCAATCAAAGGCAACGGCCAATGAAAACATGAAACAAAAAATGATCAGCACTGCATTGTACTTTTCAAGCTTGCCTCCCTCGTGCCACCGCAAACCAAAAGTCCCAATCCATGGCTTGGGATGATGTGTCAGCAAAGTCAACCACGCCCTTGTTACAACCTCAATGACATCAACCTCGCTCGTCCTTGAAACCACAAAAAGCCCAAGATCCCAACCCAGACATTCCTCTCTCCGATATCAATATTTCCTGCTACCATTTCATATACAGAAGCAATCATGTCCGACTACGCTCAACCCCCACACACCCCCACCCTCGAAACCTCGCCCTTCCGCCTCTCCACGCCACCGGAAGAGCTGCAAGAACTGCGCGACCTCGTGCGCCTGTCGAAGCTCGGGCCAAGGACGTACGAGAATTCATCTGCGGGCGGGAAGTACGGGATCGAGTATGAGTGGATGGCTGAGGCGAAGGAACGCTGGGCGGAGGGGTTTGACTGGTGAGCATTAACCCTTTACGTCGTGTGTGAAACCTCGTCTAAGAGTGCGAGTAGGACGGTTATTGAGACTCGTGTGAACGAGCACCCCAACTTCAAGGCCAAAGTCGTCGACGACGACGGGGCTACGTACACCGTCCACTTCCTCGGCCTCTTTTCGCAAAAGAAGGATGCGATCCCGTTGATGTGCATCCACGGATGGCCGGGTGAGTACTCACCACTTCGCAGATCACCATCTCAACTAAGTATGCACAGGCAGCTTCCTCGAATTCATCGGCTTCCTCTCAGCCTTGAAGACCAAGTACACCCCCGAGGACCTCCCCTACCACGTCATCATCCCGTCCCTCCCAGGCTACGCCTTCTCCGACTCCCCGCCGGTAGACAGGGACTGGGTGCTGCAGGACTCTGCGCGGCTGCTGCACAAGCTCATGGCCGGGCTGGGATTCGAGGGCGGGTACGCCGTGCAGGGCGGCGATATTGGGAGCTACACGGCGCGGATCATGGCGCGCACGTATGACTCCTGCAAGGCGCTTCATCGTGAGAGACTTCCCTTACTAAACTGTGATTGATGATCATCAGCTGAGCTGAACATCAATTACCTAGTGAACTTTTGCGCCATGACGTGTCCCGAGGAAGCAGCAGACACGCCGCTCGAAGAGTATGAGCGAGAAGCCCTAGAGAGGAGCGACAAGTTTGTCAAGTTTGGCACCGCGTATGTAATGGAGCATGCGACGAGGACTGCTACGATCGGGTTTGTGTTGTCGTCGAGCCCTCTGGCGCTGCTTGCTTGGTATTCCCACCCCCTTCATATTGACGGACGTCTTACTGATTAGCTGGGCAGGATTGGTGAGAAATTCCTCACGTGGACGCACGAAACCCCCTCCATGGACGAGATACTCGCCTCAGTCACGCTGTACTGGCTCACCCAGACCTTCCCCCGCGGGATCTACCCGTATCGACAGGTACGTCATCCCCCAACATGGTCGTGTTTTCAGTGAGTGGCTGACCCGTAGCAGGAAGTTATCGACGACACGCGCGGGTCCATGACCGACGCGGAGTGTCGGCGGGTGATCAAGGACGGCGCGAAGCGGTACATGTTCCACCCGGACCCGGAGTACTACTGCGAGAAGCCGATGGGGTACTCGTGGTTCCCGTACGAGATTGTGCCGGTGCCGAAGGCGTGGGCGGCGACGACGGGGAATCTGGTCTGGTACCGGCCGCATGACAAGGTGCGTTTATGCATGTGGGCTTCCTGGACTTGTGGAACGGTTTGCTGACTGCGACAGGGTGGGCATTTTGCTGCGTATGAGCAGCCAGAGGCTCTGCTGGGTGATGTCGAAGACTTCTTGAAGCAGGTCTGGGTGTAGACAGCCGGGAGGCGGATGTGAGAGCGTTGGGTTTCCAGGGAGGAGTCTTAGACTTGATGATGGAATATGCGTACACCTATCCCACGGTGTAAACAGTCACGTAGACAGGTAGACACTAAGCATTATGAATTATTGAAGAGTCCTTCATGCAAAGGAGACCGGCCTCTCCTTCTGGAAGGTCGAGCAACGCAAGTCTTGGCATAAAATGAACCCAGGTATTCGGGAGCATCCACATGGTTGCGGCCCGACGTGAGGTGATGCGCTAAGCTGTGGATTGAAATCACGATGCGGTCACGGACCTTTGGTTTGCGGTAACGAAATGAGGGCATGGGGCGCGTGTGCAAGATCTATCTTTGTGCAGTGGACCGATGATGATCAGCGTCGCCTGCTCGTGCCGTCCAGCGATCGCCTCAGCATGAGACCGTGAGAGTGATGATCAAATGGAGAATCTGACGTCTGTTCATGCGGGCAGAGACATTTCTCTTACTTGACGAGCGGCAGACCGACGGCGGAAAAGGGTGATCAGACTGGAATTCGTAAGCGGCATGCATTCAAGCTTATTGAACAAGCAAGCAAAGATGCTTGAAAATGGTACGAAAAAATCGATAGCTTGTGCAGAGGCCTTGCAGTGGTTGACCCGACGGCAAACATTTAATGTCGGTTAATAACAAGTTTTCCCCGGCGTGGTCGACTCGGGGCAGTGATGGATGGGGCGGGGAGGTCGGGCGGGTGGCTCCAGGAAGAAACCCCTGCGAGCCCACAGGTCGCAGTTCACTTCCCAGTGAGCCCACCGATGGCCGTGGCAGCGATGTAACGCCGAGTGCGAAGGTTCAGGAGGTTATCCGTAACCCTGAAGTGGCGGCGGGGCTTACACGAGATTTTCCCACAGTTTTTTCTGCCGGGGAATTGAGAGAAGACGGTTGATGCTGACGGTGGGAGGCGACACAACACGGATTTCCAGCGGCTGGCATTTGCGCTGTTTTGGAGACAGGAATGGACGGGGGCCCAGATCGGTCGTGGTGTGCAGAATGCAGACTGATGCAGGACTAAAAAAGATCGCGGGGCATTCCAGGCTTGATCGACGCGGAGGATGTTTGTGTCACCCGTCGAGTCGTGGATTGTGGTAGGCTGAAGGCGAGAATAAAGCATTGCAGCTGGAGACTTGCCCAACGGGCCGAAACGGGCTGAGCCACAAAAGAAACGACAATGGCGTTTTGAACGGGCGAAGAAGAATTAAATCTGGGGCGCGACGGTTGAAGAAAACAAAGGGGACGAAACGTTGGTGAAGAAGCGGGAAAAAAGAAAGGAACAAACTCGACAAAGAAGGACCCAACGGTGGAAGGTGCAGCTGAAGCCTCAAGAGCACGCAACAACTGTTGGATAACGCCTGCCTCCCCTCGCAGGCGGAACTCGTGGGACAATGCAGCTAACGACTCGGTCGAGCCCACTCAAAGGGGAACAGCAGCCGGAGCAGAGGGCAGGAAGCAGCAGCCGTGTCCGGGGGCCAGCAGGAAAGAGCACATGGCCGAGCAAGGAAGCCGTCCAATGCCGTGGGCGGGATTGCACGAGAGTACTCCACACAATGTGGATACTTCACAGGTAATGTGGATATGGGTGGAGATGCATTCGACGCCACGGCCCAAAGGGGAAACGATGGGCAGGGACTGACAGGGAAGGAACGAGGCATGAACCAGTCCGTCGGGGGACCGTCCCAAGCGTGCCTTCCATCCCAGACGAACCAATGGGCGGCTGTGGCTTCCCTCCAGAAGGTGGGAAAGAGCCATGCAGAGCCATGCGCCTGCAGCTGTCGACTGGTCCAGAAACCCACCCACCTGTGGATGTGGATGTGGACACTCAGTGTGCTGCGCTGATTTGGCTGTTGGTGCAGCAGGTGCAGGTGAGAGTCTCCATCCATGTCACTTTGTTCCTTCCATTCCTTCTTACCTCAAGGTACGACGGGAAGTACCTACCTCAGGTACGGTGTTGTTGCTCTTGCTGCTTGTGCTACTGCTGCGGGAGCGAGTCGCCAACCTTGGAAACTGCAACACACTTCCACTTCCACTGCTCCTACCTTACGGAGTACCTTACGTTACCGCTGGCCGAATCCTTCTTTTTCGTCTTCTTCTTCCCTCCCCCTCCTTTTCTTTGCATCTGCATCTGCACCTGTCTGCACCTGCGTCGACATCTTCCACCACTCACTCTCACCCAATCTTTTCCCGCTTCCCTTGTCATTCCTTGAAACCCCCCAACAGCCAAGCCGCCGTCAATCATCCAGTCCACCCCGATTCAGTCGAGTCGACTACAGATACGGATACCTCATACACACAGACACACACAGATAGAGTCCGAGTTCCAGCCACGCGCTGCAAATACCTCACTCACCCTACCCTCGCTCAATACCACCACCAACCACCAGTCCACCACCCACCTCACGGTACCGTACCTTTACCTTACGGATACCGCACCAAACCAGACCAGGTCCAGATCCAGTCCCGGTCAAGTCCAGTCCGGCCCATTCGCTCGCTCGTTCTCTCTGTCTTTTAATACATTACCACCTCGAGGCCTCGAAACCCGGTGTTTCGACCTCCTCTCGTCCCCTCCCTCTCTCTTCCACTCTCGCACTGCCCGCAACACAGACATCACCGTCTGCCACCCGCATCGTCCGTTCTCTCTCTCGACGAGTCTGAGCACCCGCCCCAATCAATTCCCGACGCGGCATCCCAACGCAAACGAACCAGGAAAAAGGGGGAGACACCCTGACCGGCTACTTCGCATCCATCAGAGACATCTGTGTCACAACCTTGCGACAGTCATTCCACGCATTCCACCCGCCGCGATAAGCTTTTCGTCCGATCAATTCGCCCTTCCTACTTTACCTCCTGCATCTGCCACCGACCACAGACTCCGTCCTTCCACCTCTGTCATCTGTTGTACTACGCAGTCCTCACCACCACGCAATTGAGTTTGGACACTCCCGCCGTCAATCGCACCTTACCACCGCACGAACCTCAGGAAGGCACATTAATCCACCACAAACACCACTGTTGCAGTCGCAACAGCACAAATCATTCAAAATGGCTCCCGGCATCATCGAACGCATCCAGCAAAAGATCGAGCTCTTCCGTCTCGAGCAGCGCTACACTCGTCGCCGCCATCGTCGATCCACCTTCATGTCCAACGCTGTCTACGTCGACGGCGAGTACGTCTACCAGACCCCCAACTCTACTGGTTCCTCCTCGTCCGGCAGCACCAGCAGCAAGGGCGTCAACGCCCTCCACCACGCAGAGCCCATCTCTCCCACCGTCGCCCCGTCACAGACCGAGCCCAGCAAGAAGCGATTGAGCCGCTTCTCCTCCATGCCCGGCTTCGGCTCAGTCTCAACCAAGCAGAGCCCAACCCAGGACTGGCGGACAAGCAACATTACTGTCGACGAGGTCAGGCGGTAGAAGCCCATTGCCGAAAAGCGTTGGACGAATGAAACTAAAAAGGTGGACGATACTCGGGTCAGGACGGCGACCCATGACACGGCGACATGACAACACTCGGGGCTAGTCTTCGAGGTGCGACGACATTGCTGGAAAAGCAATTGGCACATTGCTCTTACGACTCTCCTCGGTCACGTCTCTACAGCGGCGCATTGCAACTGCATTGGGGGTGCCTGTTCTTGATCTTATTTTTTTATGTTTGGGAAGACCTCAGTAGACCTCAGCGGTCGATGCCGCGTCGCATAACTGCACACGGCACCCCAAATCACCAGATGTCGCGACGACGACGACACTGGATCTTGCTTGTCTGGATACACTACACCGACTTGTAATTTTGACTGTTGCTCGGGATACCCACCGGCATACCGGCGTTTAGCACGCATTTTTCTCTTGTACATATCCAAAAGGATTATATGATTACTTCCACCATACTCTTGCTTGCCTCTGTTTTTCGTGATTGCTGACGTTAATTGCAAGGGCGCACAGGGGATGTGCAGGAATGAGATTGAAATTGCAAACGCTGAAGCCGTTCCGTGTCTCAGACTTTTGGAGCCGTGTCGGCAATGATCGGCCTTGCGTTTGCTCAGCCACGCCGCCCACGCGACGTGTGCGGCAGGCACCTTGAATGATCTTCCCGGATGCACCAGCGACACTAGGCAGTTTGACCTAATGTTTCCCGCAGGCGTGTGACCCATATAGACCCTTGCGGGGATGAGCAGTCCCAAGCTCCCGCAAGTGCTTGGGACGATGTTGGGTTAACCTTGGTATTCTTTGACAGAGTCTTGATCACATCAAGAACAGGGGTGCCCCGTCGAAGAGGGCGTCCCAAGACGTCGGCTCGTGGCCGTTTCTATGCGCTTGGCTCAACTTCTCCACGAGACGGGCACCGTCTATCATGCTGACCGTGCCCAGCTCTTCGCCGATGGACTGCATTCCCGAGCACAGGTACCCGGCGGCTTCGTCGTCGCGACGGACGAGCGCGGCTTGGATACCGCCGACCACCATCGGCCAAATGACGAATTTGTGCAGCAAACCGGCGCTGGTTGCGGGAGGATCCGATTTGAGGTCTTGGGGTTCCCGTCGTGGGGCTCTTTGGTCGAAGAGGATGCGAATAGAAAACATCAGTGCTTCATACGCTGCCGCCTCCCTAGAGACAAGGGACGACATTGACTCTTGGGAGGATGCGACAGCTCTCCGAGACGTCTCGCCTAGTCCCGCCAGGCTATTGATGGCGTACAAGACCGTGGCATTCAAGAAAGCAGTCATCAGGGCTATCCACGCTGTCCTCGTCTCGACGTCTTCACTCAACCTGCCGGGCGCCAGCCAGACGGTGGCATTGGTCGCGACTTCAGCAGCCCAGGCATCGGGCAACGCAGCGTTGAGGAACTGCAGCACTGCCAACAGGCCTTGCGTGCGCGATTCCGCCGACGGGAGAAGAAGATTCTCTGCGCGCAACATATTGATTTGGTTGATAGTCCTGGCCAGCCCGTTCGGCATAAGCGTCCACGGGTTGGCAATATCAACCATGCTCTCGTCGAAGATCATCGCGTAGGGTGCGTACCGCGAGAGAACAGTCTTTGCTGACGCCTCTGTCAGCCAGGTCGTCGACATGCCGAATATGTCCACGACGGCGACTTGTTGCAAGACGCGGCAGAGGTCCGTACTTGCCTTGGCTAGGACCTCCATGCCGCCTTGCGCGGCTATTAAGCTCCATGCACCGTGGATGTGAGCCTGCCACGGCGCGTATGCCGAGTACTGGATCTGTTCATAGGTCAGTAATACGACAGTGAAGAAGATATTGGGAAATCGAACCTGTGATGACAGCATCAACATGATGCCAAGCAAAATCTCCGGTCCCGGCCCGGCGCTGTTCTGGTCGGACTGGTGCTTCCCGAGTTCCTCGCTCAGCGCCCTGATCGCAGCTGCTTGCGACGCAAAGTGCACGCTCTTGAAATCCCCCGCCGCCATGAGCTCCGAAATGTCCGACCCGTCAGGCGCCGGGACCGCGGACCGGAGGGCCCCGGGGCTAACTCGTGCCACTCCCGCCGGCTCCCCGCTGACGAACCTATGCAGCGCCGCTATCGAAATGTACGATTTGCGCACATACTCCGCCAACTCCCCGATCTCACTCGGCGAGATCTGGTACGGACTCCGCTCCGTCGCGTACGGCACCAAATCCGGTGCTACATGTAAATTATCTGTGCAAACCCATCAACTCCGTCCCGGCGGGATGTGATCAAGATAGGTAGGTAGGGAAGGAAGAATACCCACAATACTCAATCGCATCCGCCGCAATGCGCAACTCCACCTCGGACCGCACGCTCCGCGGCGCGCGGCACACGATGCCCATCACGCTCTCGCGCCCGAGGCCCGCCTTCTCGTGGGCCCCGTTCTCGCGCACGCGCACGATGCCGTGGGACGTGAGGAGGAGTGGGTTGCGCCAGGCGATGGGCCGGGTTGGGGCGTAGCCGGGGCAGGAGACGGAGGCGAGGGCGCATTTGCGGCAGGAGGGGAGGGAGGAGTCGCAGCGCAGGCGGCGTTTGCGGCAGCGCCAGCATTGGGGGCCGAGACTCATTGTGGATGGGACGCCACGGGGGGTGGCGGTGCGGGTGGGATGAGGATGAGATGGGAGAGAGAGATAGGAAGAGGGAGGAGGGAGAGGTAGGTGGACGGGGCTGCGATGGCCGAGACGGAGGGGGTGGAGGGGAAGCTTATCGGCAGTTGGGACGCGGGACGGCGATGTCGGCCCCCGATGGCCCGGGCGTGGGGGGCGGGGGGTGCCGGTTTCCGGAAGTTTAGCGACGACGTTCAGATGACGGGCTGTAAGTTGTAACAGCAAATCAACGCAAACCCATATTGATAGTTGCCAATATTGAAGATTCATGTTAACGACTGAATACGTTTCTGAACTACTTTGGATTGCAGTCTGGTGACCATCAAAAAGTATGACCCATTCCCAATAATCAATACCTTTCACAAGACGTGAATGCGCAGAGATTTCAAACGGTTGCTTCTAGTCCTTTTGGCCGTGGTTTCAGGAAGCCTGGATCTAAGGCTCGCTCTCGTGCTGCTTCTTCCCCCTCTTTCTCCTACAAGTCATTAGTCACTGATCCAAATCTGGGAAAAGAGCTTGGGCATACTCGCTGATCTCCTTCGCCTCCGCGGCACCAGCCATAGCGCCTCTCATGGTGCTCAGGATACCCCCGCCGAGGAGATGTGCGGTCAGGCCACCGGTTGTGGCGCCGATGATGCCGGCGCGGCTTGATTTGTCTTCTTGGACTGGTTGAGGGGGGTTCTGGTGGGAATATTGGTAGGGAGGTGGATTGGAGAGTTGAGAGTGTTGATGGGGAGGTTGAGGGGAGCAGGTGTAGGTGGGTTGAGCGTTGGCCTGAGGTGGTGTCAAAGATGTGTTCTTGTTGGAAGAGGGCCCGCGGGGGCAAAGCGGATTGGAAACTTCTCGCAGAGAATTGTCAATAATAGTTGCCCTGCTTGGGCAACTACAAATCCGGAATAGGCGCTTAACGTTGCTCTGGGGAACTTTCTTTCCCATTGTTAGAGTTTGAAAAGTGGGAGGCCCATTAATGAAAACAAACTATGTCTTCATTCTAGAGTAATAACAAACCCCTTTCTCTTACTGTCCTAAAGTTTCACAGCAACCTTTCTCGTTCTACTCCCGTCTCCTACATACGGTCTACTACTTCGTACCATTTCTAGGAGGAACCGAAGTACTAGATTTCCAATCCCTCAGGTCCGCTTCCAGTTCTATGCAATTCCTCTTGAGCCAGTCTAAAATCTGAGACCAATTATCGTCGGCTTCGCGTACCCGCTTCCTTGTAGTCCGAATAAGACGGTCACCTGAGTCATAAGCTTGACAAAGCCTCTTGACATCGACATCCCGGCGAATACCAAGGGCTTTGACAGCCTCCACATTACCAGCCCGTACAGCTTCGCATAGCGGGGTATCGCCATTATCTGTCTCATCTGGCCGGATCGAGGGTGCGCTCAACACCAATTGCATGAGGTCGTATCCAGCAAACTTCGCTAGCGAGTGTAATGGTGTTACGTCTTTGTGGAGCGTGTTGAAATACTCGCTAGGGAGCTTTGATATAATGAGCCGGGCTATGTCGCTATTCCCCCCGGCGTGTATCAACGCGGTCCTGCCTTGTACATCGCCCAGTGTGAGGTTGATTCTAGGGTGAGCCAATAAAGACCGCACGACGTCGAGATTTCCAGACTCTGCAGCCAGCATGAGAGGAGTTTCGAACTTCCGATTCCGAGCGTTGATGAATTGTTGATCCTCAGAGTGGGCGGCGAGCATATAATCGATCATTTCTTTGTGCCCATTTCTGGCTGCAATATGCAGCGGCAGCTGGCGGCCGTCGCCTGGTATCCTTTGCGGCGTTTTGCTTTTGTTGCACTTCAATAACTCACGATAGCAATCAACGGATCCAACCGATGCTGCATGGTGGAAAGCGTTGAAGCCTGCCCGCGTGCGTTTGCAGACTTGATTGGGATTATGTTCAACAAGGGCTCGCACGATCCGCGGTTTGTCGCACAACACTGCAGCATGCAGTAGTGAATGCAACTCAGAGTCCGCTGCTTCGACGTCGATAAGATGGCTAAGATGGAAGCAATCAACAGAATCGTCGGCGGCGTTCCAAATCTCAGTGACTTTGCGAATTGGAAAGAAGACACCGTTGTCAGACGAACTTTCGTTGGCGATGACGTTGCGAACCCAGTTTCGAACCACATGCTGCTTGAAATCTTCAGCCACAACAAGACTTATAGAGGCTGGGTACAAGAATAGTTTGGGCTTAAGCTGAAAAACGTAATCAGGGCCGAGAGCGAAACTTGTATGCCGGGTTGTCCATTGATCGTGAAGCTGAGACACTAAATTTGCTAGAGGCTTGAAGTCGCAAAATCCATGATCTTGGATGTCAAGTTTGAGTCTTCGAATGAGATGGCAAATTTGCATCCCGAGTGGCAACCTGGCCAGAGATTCTTCGGAGATCGCAGACTGTCTGGGGATGATCAATTCCTCGCCGAGAGCCTCATGAGCGTTTTCGCACAGTATCCGGTCGGCCATTGGAAGAATTCCTGAGTGCCGGCGGTCGTACAGAACCTGCCTGATGCGTTTAACAAGTTGTTCTAACCATGCACTCAGCTTATCGGCACTTTCTGCGAAATAACTGATAGGCTTGCGGCCAGTCCCTGACAGAGTAAGATTTCTGAGGTATGAGCCCGTCTGAGCAAGGAACGACCGCTCATGATTCAGCAATTGCACGAAGATGACCAGGTTGGTTCTAGGTAAACCTTGTAAGCTGGAAAGATCAAGACAAATGTGATAAATTAAGTTCTGCTTCCTCGCAGCTGCAGAGAACTTACAAGTCGGCGCAGTTCCAGTTTGCATCACCACCCTTAAAATGGAGCTCAGTAGATCCCTCGCCTGTCTCGCCTCGAACTCCTGTGGGTTGAATTTGCTGGAGTGTAATTTCCAAATCTGATGGTAAAGGCGACATTGGCGACATTGTCTTTCTCGATTGTTGTTTGACCTCTCCTGGTGAGCATTGAAAACCTTTGCTCTTGCATCGCTCGCATGTTTGCGGCCAGAGACGAGGCTGTGGACTACACTCATTTGCGTTTGCCTTACCCGAAACCCCTGTCAGTGCGCGATTTATTACCCCTCCACGCCACTTTTGCCCATTCGTACATACTAATACTAAAAACGCATTAATTAACGCGAATTATCGTATAAATTGATTATTAATAGCTTCAGAAAAGCCTTTTTTCGCTAGAATCTATATTCTATCCTTTTTTTTATCCTTATAGAGTTAACTCCTCTTAAGTATATATATTAAAGTATTATAGGGGGCTAAAACTATTACTAAGTATATTAATTTAAAGCTTATAATATTATTATTATTTATCTAGCTAGTATTATTAGTAAATTAATATATATTATTATAAAATCTAAGTATAAATTAACTATTAGTATTATTAATAAAACTCTTTTTACTATATAATACTTATAGGATTATATCTTATCTTCTAGTAGTAAAGTACTTTTAATATATTAATACTAAAGATCTTATTACTAAACCTATCTAGTAATATAAAGTATATATAATATAGCCTTTTTACTATCTATCCTCTTTATTAGTATTATATTTAATTAAAATTATACTAATATTATAAAGTAAATAATACTAAAGCTATTAAGTAGTAAATAATAAACTTAGCTAAAAGAGTTACTACTTATACCTTATTTTAATAATAAGTTAATTATAAAGCTTATTAAGTATAATATCTTAATAGTTTAAATTTATTATTAATAATAAGAAGTATTTAGAGATATACTAAAACTATATTAACTAATAGGTTCTAAGTATTATAAAATAATACTAATTTATAAAGAAGTAATCTTTAAACTCTTATATAATAAAACTAATTATTACTTTAATAAAGTTTAAAGTTTTCTTATAAAAAAGTTTAATTTATCTATATTTATATTAATAATCTCTTACTACTTTAAAAAAATATAGTAGAAGAAGAAGAAGATTTAATATATTACCTAATAATAAAACTAAGCTATATAAGAAGTATATATTATATTAATCTATAACTATACTACTAATATATTTATTTTTATTAATAAGAGTAATATTAATTATTAAAGTAATACTAAATATATAAACTAAGCGCTAAAAAGTATAAAACTATTAAAGTAAAGTATTATAAAAAGAGGTATATAGTATTATATTTTACTAACTCTCACTATTAATAGTTTTCTTAATTATATTATTTATCTTAGATATATAGATACTAATAGCTTCTTATTCTAGATTAAGAACTTTATACTACTAAAAATAAAAAAGTTTCTTAGTTTAAAGTTAGTTTTAGTTATAAATAATATAATATAGTATAACTAGAAGTAGTTAGAGGATATTTATTAATAATATAGTATTAAGTTATAGTATTTACCTATATACTTATTAGATTTTAACCTTATTAAAGCATTCTTTAATAACCTTAAAAACTACTTATAGAAGTAATATATAAAGTATAAATAGATTAAGGTAATAAACACTTTCTTTATAAACTTTCTTTATAATTATACCCTTAAAATAGCTTAAAATATTAACGCTATCTTATATTACTTTTATTACTATAGTATTTATATTAAAAAAGATAGAGATATTAATAGAGAGGAGAGTTTACTATAAAGTTAAGTTTATAGCTATAGTTATATTTAACTTTAATACTATTAAAAGCCTTCTTACTTAAAAGAACGTAATATTAATATAAAATAAAATAATTTAATCTTAATAGTTAGTTAGCTTTATAATATTTTAATTATAATATATTTCTCTTTAGCTATAGTATTAGAGGTATATCCTATTTATTAGATAAATTACTATTAGTTATTAAAGTTAAGATCTTTATATTTATATAAAGAAGTAGGAAAAAAACCCTTTCTACTTATTAAAGCTTACTATTATTATTATTATTAAGTAATTAAGTAAGAGAAGTAGTAAGAGAGTAAATATTATTAGTTACTTTAATTAGAAGGTCTTATTTAATAGTATTAGCTAGAAGTATTATATTATTTAGAAGTATTATATTATCTACTTAAAAATCTATTAGTTTTTAATATTATAAAGAGGTAAGTATAAATTATAGTTAGTTATTAAATCTATAATATTTTGCTTAATTAGGAATTATTTAATTTTACTTCTAATTATCTTTATAATACTTATAGGGATATTATTCTTATTAAACTAATTAGTTAGTGCTTTTTAAAGGGATTTAAGTTAGAAATAAGCCTATAGAATAACGTTAAGAGTAATAAAGAGATTAGTATCCTATTTAGTATCCTTAGTCCTTTCTATTCTTTATAGATACTTTAGATATTTATAGAGAAGTTATAGTATAAGCTTAATCTAAGGAATAAATAGAGAGGAGGATAAAATTAGTAAATCCTATTTCTTAGTATATAATAGTATTAATAGCAATCTTATTAGTAGTAATATTAATAATAATAACTAAATAGGAGCATAATAATTATAATAAAGATAAGTTAGTAGTATAAAGTTATAAAATAGCAATAATAATAATATATTAACTTAGTTTATAATATAGAGGTTAAAAGAAAGTAGATTAAGCTTACTAATACTACCTCTACTACTTCTATTACTATTTACCCTTAGTGTAACCTTACTTTATAGCTTAGATTTACTCTTATAAAAGTAGTTATTATAGTATGAAGTTATATTAATAATAATATTCTCTAGAAGTTTATTAATAGTTATTTCTCTATTAGCTATAGCTTCTACTTAAGCTATAATATATTATTTATAGATCTAAAGATAAATAAGTAGGCTTAATAAAGTAAAAGGATAAGTAATATAGTAGTTACTAATAATATTATTATAATTATTAAAATATTTAACTCTTAACTTATACCTATAGAGGGCTTAGATTACTTAGTATATATCTTAGGTCTTTTTCTACTTTAACTTACTAATTAATAATAAGTTACTCTATTACTTT